CGGCCTCCAAGTGCTCGCTGTACGCAGAGGCAAGCTGTGCGGAGTTGATGGTGTGTGTGTGCGTGTGTGTGCGTGCCCGCACACATGTGACAGTGTGAGTACCCAGGTCCCAATGTGTCTATATGTTTCAGTGTATATTTTCCTCCTTTCCTGCTGGAGCTCTTTGATCCCACACTGGTCAGTCAGGCCCAGTCTTTAGGACCTGGTCCAGTTTTGCAGCATAAACAGGGCCGCCGGGGGTGCAACGTGCCGGCTGCAGAGGGCCTTGGCCTTGTGGGTCTAGCTGCTGGGCCCACATATATGCCCCAGACATGTCTGGTGCCCACCCTCCCAGTGAAGGTCTTAACCCGTTCTTCTGTGGTCTCCCCTGCCTGAGTTAGACCTACCTGAATAGACGCTGACCATCCCAGCTCCTCACCCCCCACTGTCTAACGAACCCCCATTTCGGCATCACCTACACATGTCTGTGTGCACAGGAACACACATGTGTGTGTCTGTGGGTGTGCTCAGACTTCCTTTCCCACACCCCGACTCCCCACCATGTCTCCAAACCTTGGGGAGGCCCCGGGTTCCCCAGGACAGGCCCTAGTTAGCCAATACCTGGTAGAGTAACTCTGTGTCCAAGGGTTTCAAGGACCACCTTCTCACTGAGTAGGACCTATGCAGATGTCCCCCATCCTGTGCCCTGGGTTGTCACCACTGCCCCCCTGCTGTGGCTTACAGACAGGTTGGGACCATTCCACCCTAAATGTCCAAGGGTCCTGGCTCAGGAGAGCACCAGCCAGTCTTAGAGGAGGCCTGAGGTGAGGCACAGATTGGGGGAGGAGACTGTGTCACCTACTGTCAGGAACTTTCAGATCAAGAGTTGACCAGAGGACAGATTCTGGTTTCAGGACCGGGTGGGAGCTAAGGTTCCCCATGCCCTGGGCATGGGGTACAGGGTACAGAGCCAAGGTGCTGAGGAAGATCTCGAAACCAGGGGCACCTTCGGGAAGGCAGCCAGGATGTAGGGCCATCCTTAGAAGTAGGGGCCTCTGCCCTTCTAGAAGGGAGAGGTTATAGGTCATGGATTGGGGCCCTGAGGCTATCAGAAGGGAAGGACTAGGCAGCCCCACAATCCAGCATGCTGTTTGCTGGCCCAGGATCCCCTCAACACATCCCAGAGATTCCAACCAAAGTTTGAGGTTGGCTCTCCCAAACTTTCCTCTGCAGAGCCATTCCTTCGGGCTCTCCTCATGCTGGCAAGCACCCCCCACCCGCCCGGCCCGTGCAACCCCTCTCTCTGTCCTCCACTCCTCCGAAGGGGAGAGAAAGAGGGGGTGGAGAAGGCCCTGACACATAGACAAGGGCCTGGACCTCCGGATCTCTGCGCCCAGCACATCACTCCAAAGACATTCTGGGGGAAGGGGGTGACCTTTCTGTCATGAGAAGTGTACAAGCAAGACTGAGCTTGCTCTCAGCAGGACTTAGGGAAGAAGGGGTCTGGAGGCTTGCACTAGAGGTCTTGAAAGGTCCCTTTCCAGCTCTGATTCTGCGATGGTTGAAGGAGCTTCCAGCCTGGTTTGTGGGTTTCTGTAACTTTCCAGCCAGCCAGAGGCCCTGGGCTCCTCTTCAATGTAAGAAGGCACTGTTTTCCCAGGGGTGGCCCTGGATTCCAGCTCCTTGGGCAAGGCCCAGGAAATGGCTCACGTCAGCCACTCTGGAGCCTAAAAGCTCAAACAAAATGGAAAGAGACCTGGCACGCAGTGGACGTCGGAAGAGCTCCTTCCCGTCCCGGGCTCCGCAGCACGCGCACGGTCCTGTCTGACCAGCCTTGGCCCTTGCAGCTCTCTCTCGGCCGCTTTGTGGGGTGGGCTCCACATTTACCATCCCTAGTTTGCAGCCTGGGAAGGAGGGAAAGTGACCTGCCCAAAGTCCCAGAGCCACTCTGGATCCAGCAAGGATCAGCACCCAGCTTTTTCTGACTTTAGACACTGTTCTTTCTCCGGAACTAGCGGTCAGCGTCTAGGGCAGTGGGTCTCCATGGACAGCAATTTTGCTCATTAGGGAACTTGTGGCAATGTCTGGAAACATTTTTGGTTGTCACATTGCAGGGTGGGCCAAGGCCAGGGAAGCTGCTAAACGATGCTAAATAATGCATGTGACAGCCCCCCCCATCCCAATCAATGAAGAGTTCTCCAAAACCGGACTTCGTTGGGGCTGAGATTAAGAAACGGGTCTAAGGAGTCTGTTCGTACCTGGGACACAGATGGGCTAGGCTTAACTGAGGCTACTCTGTGGCAGAGGGTAAGCTCTGGACACAAGCTGCCCTCTAACTGCCCTACTTGGTCAACCCCTGTGCTCACGTCCACAAGAAATGACTTTAAGGATTCCATCTGCTACCAAAGGCCAAGAGCATGGGGAGACGAGGCAGCCTACCCCTTCTGATGCTGTGTACAGCCCCTCTCTTCAGGACTGTGGATGCAGCCTCATTACCGGCCCCTCTGCCCCTGCCTTGCCCTTCCTGCCCCTCAAGCCCACACAGCTCAAGTCATCTTGCAAAGGGGCGGGTCTAACCCAGAGACTCCTTGGCTTAACCCTTCAGGTGTGTCCCCATTTCCTTCAGCCAAGGTTTCCAAGCTATTTTTAAAAATAAGACTTTGACTGTTCAGCGTACCGCACTGAACAAAGCCGACCATTTACACAGCACCCCCTCTGAGCCAGGCACATTCTGAGCCAAGCAGATGCCATTACCTTCCATGTGTTACATCTGAGGAAACTGAGGCCCCCGGCGCTTAGGGTGGCTAGCGAACAGTGGCCAGGTTTGGTTCCAGAACGCTAGCTCCTAAGAAGCACTGCCTGTCGGATGAGCCTCCATGAGCTCTGTCACCAATGTACTTACGGGCCCCTCAACCCACAAGGCTCTGAAAGCATTTTTGGGCAACCCAAGACTCAGGGAGCCCAGACTGCCAGGCAGGGCCTAGAGGATGGCACTCATATGGGGTTTTGGGGTTCTTCAGGACCCAGCTCTGCCCCCAACTTCACTCCTGACCCCGCACTCTCTGATCTGGCCGTGCTGGGCTGCCTGCTCCTCTCCCGTGGCTGTGCCCTCTCTTGCCTCCTCACCGTGATGCACCGTGATGCACGCTGCTTCCTTGGCCTGGGATGCCCTCCCTCACGTCCACTCCTTTTCGGGCCTCTTCTAGGTGAAGGGCCTGACCCTGGCTCTGTACCCCCTCTGCCTCCTCCCTTCACTGAATTCATCACACTGGACAGCACTCGCTCTTGGCAAGTCTCCAGGCGCCACCTTTTTTATTCATCCCAGTGTCCCTAGCACTGGGCCTGGAACGTGGTGGCGATGCAGCTATCCGAGCTGGGCTCTAGAGTTAGTGAAAGAGGGCCAATCCCAGCTCCTTCAGGCATCGGCTAGGTCCCTGGTTGGAGGAGGAGGGGGCAGTGGGAAGCCAGGAAGCTAAGCCCAAGGCTGGGCAAAAGTCAGAGTGGGAAGGACCCTCAGAGAGCCTCTAGTTCAATCTGCCCATTCCACAGATGGGAAAATGAGGTCCAGAGAAGGGAAGCATCATGACCCAGATCACACAGCAGGTCAGCAGCAGAGCCAGAACTCATCCCAAGTGTCCTACAGATGTCCCTCCTGGCAGACTGGGCACCAAGCCCATGCCCCCCCGACCTGGCAGGGGCATCCCCAGGAAGGTACGAGGCTCATCAGGGCCCCAAGGCAGACGGCAGGCGGCAGGCACATGCACCTTGTCCTTGGCCTATCCTGTCCCCCTCTCCAGCCCCCGAACTGGGTGGGGCAAGGAGGAGTGGGGACAGGAGGAGCAGGCGAGGGGGTACCTCGGTCTCCAGCTGGCGTGGATCCGAAAGAAACTCCGTTTATTACTAAACATCTGGCTGGAAGTTGAGAACAAGACACAGAGGTTAGTGGGAAGGGGACAGGCGGACAGAGCGTGGGGAGCTGCCGGGATGGGGCTGGCTTCCTGCGGCTGCTGGGAGAGAAGAACCCCTACCCAAATCACCCTCCAGCCCACATCCCCAGAAGGCAGACCTTCTCAAGATTTGCATTAGGATCTTCAGGGCAGCACGTTAAAGATGCAGAGTTCTGTGCCTCTCCTCCAGAGAGTCTCATTCTGTGGGCTTGGGGAGAGGTCCAGGTATCTGCATTTTGGAACGAACACCCCGCAGATGCTGATGCACGAAGTCAGTGGACCAAGCCTTGAGAAACATCATCTTAGCGCCTCATGGAATAACCCCAAAGAGGGGCAGTGCTGGCCTTGGCAATGCCATCCCCCAGGAAGTCCTGCTGCTCGTAGTCCCGGGCGCGCGCTCAGCCTGGATCCATCCGCGCGCACCACTAAGGGTGTGGCCAACCAGCGGAAGTGTGTATGTGTTCGTGGGTGTGGGTTTGCGGGGGAAGTCCTGTTCGGAGCCCCCACCCCATAGGACCCAGACAGCCGAGAGTAAGGATATGGCCATTTGGCCTGAGCCTGCTAACTAGTGTCCTAGAAGTCACAGCTCCAACTCCTGGGGTGCCTGGGAAGAAGGGACACTCCACCACCATCACCATGAGCCCCGGCCACACAGACAATGCAGGGCAGACGGACACAAGGGTGGGGGTTAGTGAATGCCAAGCCCTTGGCAGTCATCTGGTCCTAGGCTTTGGGGACCCACCGCCCCAGAGCAGTTATGGGTAGGAAACAGGCTGGGCTCCAGGTTTGTCTCGTTTTTCAGTGCCTTCCTATCCAGGCCAGGTGAGACCAGAGCAGACCGGAATCTCCAGAGAGCAGGGGCCCAGGCCCTGGGCAAGGTTGCTCAAAAATAAAAGCTGTGCCTGGGCTGGGGGGCGGGGGCGGCTGGGAGGGAGGGGGACGTAACACTGAAGGGCCTGCAGGCAGGGACAGAGAATCCAACCCCAGGGCCATACCGTGGACTCTCTTCTAGGAAGTTCCCAGCCTGGCCTGGCCAGTCATGCTTCCCCTTCTCCAGCCCCTCATCTGGAGGGACCACCCGGTCTCCCTGCTTCTGTTCAGCTCCTGGCTGGAGATGCCCTCACCAATCACAGGGAAGAAATGCTGTTCCCAGCATCCTCTGCACCAACCCCTCACCACCGCACCCCCCTCCACCCCGTTCCCCAGGCCTTTGCAGCCTGGAGAACCCAGAGCCCCTGATCAGCCTAACTACTGCTGATGTTCTGCCTAGGACCCAGAGGCCCAGAGGGACTCAGTAACTTTCTCAAGGACACACAGCCTCAGGTGTCAGAGACCAGCTTTCACCACACTGCCTCCTTCCCACTGCAGCGTGGCTGGCCTCTTCTCCCTTCCCCTGTTCTGGGCCCAGGGCTCGGAATCGCACCTGAGGCTTAAGGCCCAGATGTCTACCTGGCTGCTCAGGGATGATGTGTGAAGATGAGACAAAACAAAGAGATGGAGAGGGGGCAAGGGAGGAATCAGGGGGAACTGAATCCTTGACCTCAAAGCTATACCTTTATAGAAACAGCCCTCTTCCCATACTGTGAGTCAGTGAGCTTCCCTTCTCCAAAAATGCCTGAAATTCCACTACTTTGAACATTTATGTGGGGGTAAGCATTGTTCTTTCTTCTTCTTTCAAGATGCAAGAGCTCCAGGAGAGACAGGTCAAGGGGAAAAAGACTGTTAGGAGCAGCAAAATGTCCCTCAGTAAGGAAGAAAGGCATTGTGGGAGAATCCCAAGAGGACCCTCTGGGATTAGCCAAGCTGTGGACGAGGGTTACACAAGACAAGAGCATTAGTCATTGGCTGAGTTTATGTAGGTCCTACAGCGGTTCTTAGTCACAGAGCTCTCTCTCCAGCTGGCGTCTTGTTCCCAGGAGGCAAGTTCAGTGGCGAGCCCCTTCTAGAGGAACATGCTGGGGGAGGGGGTTCCCGGCCCTCGCGCCCCAGAATGGTGCCCACGATTACCTGAGCCGTAAGCACCTGTGGCCAGCGGCCTCCTCCTCTCTCCAGCTGCCCGGGAGGGATGGGGGTGCAGGGATGGAAGAGTGAGGGGATGTGGAAACAGAGAAAGAAAGAGGACAAAGGGAATGAATGGAGGAGGTGCCAGGAAGGGACGGTGCGGATATCTCCCCCACTCAGACCCTTAGCGCCACAGGTGGCAAGCAGGTGAGTCCAGCCTGGCCTCTCCAGGAAGGCTCTCAGTCTGTACCTGTCAGGCCATCCAACGACAACTGCCCAGGCCTCATGACAAGGCCTGGGAGTCCCCAGAACAGGCCCAGACACCCACATGGTGGCTGCACACAGGTCTGAGAGAGGGTGAGACAAAGAATGGAAAAGGAGAAGGAGAAGCAAGAGGAGGTGGTGGCCCCAGGGGGCCCCTACCTTTCCCCAGGGCAGAAGGAGGCGCTGCCCGGCCGGTGGCAGGTGGCAACGGGCGGGTAACGGGAGGGCGCTCCATCAGGTACCGGCGCCCGCCGCACCTCCAGGGGCCGTAGGCCCCCATTGCGGGCCCGTTGCACGTGCTCAAACAAGAGGGCCAGCTCTCTGCAGGAGAGGGCGCCATCAGCGGCAGGCAGGGCCCTGGCACCGCCTGCTCACCTGGTGGGCATGGAGCTCTGGTGCTCAGATCCTGCCAGGCTCTGCCTCTAGAGGTGCTCAGCAGACACCCGAAGCCAGAACCAGCAGGATGGGGGGTGGGGGAGACGAACCTTCCTCCCTCTCTTTCTGCACTCAGTTCCTGGGAAATCCTCAGGGCTGCCGAGTACAGCTGTGCAGGTTGGGCACAAGTTGAGGGCATCCTCAGAAGGCGGCAAGTGGGAGCTTGAATTTAAGCTACTCTCTGCTCATCAAGCGGAGTGCCTAGACATGGAGCTGTCCCTCCCTGGAGGTCAGCAGCCACCCTGAAATCCTCCCCCTCCAGACCTGACTGGATTTTAGGAGGAAACCAAGGCGCAGGAGAGAGATTTGATAGGGTAGCTAGGCCAGCTTCCCACTCTTCTAGCACCCACTCCTGCCACTGGGCTCTTGGGAAACTAGACTTGGGGCTCAGCTTCTTACTCTCCAGGCCACTTCCTGTTTCCGTAACCGAAGGACTCTTCTATCTCTCCTCTGCCTCCCACTATATGCACAAGGAAGCTGAGCTCCAAGGAGCTGAAGGCCCATGGACCTAGAATCTCTAAACCAAGCTCTGTCCCTCTTACCAGAGGACCCAATATGACCCCCAATCTTCCCTTCCCCTCACATACACCAGCCCCTGCCCCAGTCCCCAGTGACTGGCCTTGAGTCCTTAGAGCTACCCCCACCCCACCCAAAAGGGAGGCTCCTTCCAAACCAACCACCACGCCTATCTCTGAGGTGGGGGCTTTTGGGAGGGAGCAGGGAGGGGAGCCAGGTGGAAGGGAGAGCGGGATCACACAACTGCTCTTGGAGATCTAACGAGGGAAAAGGCCCCCACGGGAGCTCTGAGCACAGCATCCCGGCCCAGCCTCGCCCAGCCTTGGGCTTGATTCTCTGCCTGCCCGTGGTTCCGAGCCATGCTCTGTGGTCTTCATCCCTGCCCAAGGGCCCGGCCAGGCACCTGACCACACAGACCTTGGTGATGGTTATTAGTTAACTTCCGCATGCAGCCACCCCAAGGAATACCCTCCCCCAGACCTGGGCCAGAGGGATGAACCCGCTTCTGGGCCCTAGGGCCCAGAAAAGTAGGGGCCTATTCACATGCCAGGGTGCTGGGCTGGGCCCCTGCCCCCAACTCTGGCGTGCACAGTCTTGCCCATACTGTGTGTTCTCTCCTGAGCCACGGTGTGCCAGGCCGGCAGGGGCTAACGCGGCCCTCGGCTCAGAAAGAAGGGAGACGAGCTGGCAGCCACCCTATAGGGTGGCACTGCGGGCTAGCATGCAGATTGCCAGCGCTCCAGAGCCCGGGGTGCAGCTGGTTGGGGGGTCGGGCAGGGCTCCACCCCGCACCCTGTGTCCAGCATCCACCACTTTCCCGGGGCAGAGCGGATAGGGGGAGAAGACGCTCTGGGCTGTGCATTACACGGGATTTACAGAGCTGTCCCCCCTCTCCCACCCTCCAGGGCCAAGTCCCAACCACTTGTCCTCCAGGGGACTGCCCCCCACCCATGTCCCCCTGCATCAGGGCCTACCTGAAGGATGGGAGGATACTGTCATAGTAGTACCAGGTGGCCGTCAGGTAGGCCCGGCTCGTGTCGGTGGAGTACAAACGCCACGCAGCCTGTCGCATGAGGGAAGTGGGGGACAAGGCATCAGCGAAGGCTCTCTGCCCTCAGACGAACCAGTCCTTGGGTCAGCGGAAGGAGACCCGGAGCCAGAGGCCAGCTCCAATTCCATCGCTGCGGGCAGGGCCAGACAGAAACGGAGGCCTCGAGAGAAAGGACTTCCCCAAGGTAGCAAGCGGGTTGGCATCAGAGCCAGGGGTCTAAGGTCAGAGCCGGGCGCTGTCATCAGGCAGGCGTGGCTTCCGGTCCCAGCTTTGTCCTTTATTAGTGGGGGCACATGCAATAGAGCTGCAGAGTCCCTCTGGCCTCATCTGTGAACTGGGTACAGTGCTACTTACCTACCAGCCTGATGTGATGGTGCAAAGGGCAAATGGTCTGTTAAGTGCCAAGCACAGTGCCTGGCCCACAGAAAGTGCCATATACTGGGCTCCCTGTTCAATACTCCTGTCATCTGCAGTGCCACAGCTAGGAAGTAGCTACTCAACCTGTGTTTGAGCCGTGTCCTTCTCTGCCCCTAGACTCTAAGCTGTGTCTTGGTCACCACTGTGCCCTTTGGTGCGTGGTAGGAGCTCTGCAAAGGTATGGGGAATAAATACTTCACTGAGTGAATTCTTCCCACTATGAATAAACCCACCTCATCTTTCCCAGCTGCCTGTCACTGCCCACAGGGTTGAAGAGGGCAGGGAAGAGCATCAGCCGCCAACCCCGCAGCATCCGGGGAAATCCGGCATCTTGCAGGATTTCCTCTGCAGCAGGAGAGATGAGGGTTGGACCAGAGGAAGGACTGTCCCTCTCCCTCCAAGTAAGAAGATGAACCAAGGAGGGACTCTGAGTGTGGTGATTAGGGAGGGCAGGGAGGCACGGACAAAGCCTAACTAAGCCCTGGAGGCCCCCCTTCTTTGGGTTCCTCTTGTCCTTAAGGATGACCCACTGCTGACCTCACTGGCCAGGCACCCTCCTAGGACAGGAATATTTTTACTTCCTGCTTGCCTAGTCCCCTGGCTTGAGCTGGAGAGCAGCTGCCAGAGCTGTCTCATTAATTATGGGCACCACAATACCAGCTGTCTCTTGGCATGGACAGTGCCAGCCGCCTGGCCCTACAATGCCCCCTTGGAAGGCCAGCTCCCAGGGGACAATGGCCATTGTGCCCCAAGGGACGCTGAGAAGGAAAGGCTGGGCTAGTGGCTGGAGATAGCAGGGATGGGGAGGAGATTCCAGCCTGGGGAGGAGAGATAAGGAGAGGGGGGGCTGAGTCAGACGTGGATCAGGGAGTGAGAGAGTGGCATGCTGGGAGAAGGCCAAGGTGGGATATGCCAGTGTTCCCTGAACTACTTCCCCTAGGGGCTGCTCTCACACACACTGTGACTAGAGAGAAGCCAGGGCTGAGTCACAGAGGCCCCCCAAATTGGAGCCCTTGCCTCCCTCCCACCCAATGCCCTATCAAAAGGTCTCAGCGCCGTGGGGGAAACTGAGACCACACATGCCTGGTTTTCTGGTTTTCTTTCCACCCTTCTATTCGCTCCCCTGTCTCCTTGACTGGCTCAGCTCTGCGTGCCCAGTCACTGAATGCTGAGGTTCCTAAAAGCTCAGTCCTGGACCATCTTCCCTCCTCCGTCTTTGCTCTCCATACTGGGCGAGCTCATCCGTGCCCTGGGCTTCATGGCTGTCCAGGTGCAATGGCTCCCACACAGTCCCCTCCTCTTAGCTGCAGACCCGTATGTGCAGCTGCCTCCTCACCACTGCCGCTCGGGCGCTGAGGCCAAGCACGCTCTCTGTGCTCCCGCTGAACTCACATTCCTCATGCCCCAAATCTGGTCTCCCTCCAGTGGGGAGGGCCATCAATCATCCAGTTGGGCAAGCCAGAAACCTGGGAAGTCACCTGCCATGCACCTCCCTCACCCTCTCCCTCACTCCTGATGCCACGGATTTCACCTCCTGAAAATACAGAATCTGCCCACTTCTTCCCATCTCAACTGTTGCCGATGCCAGTCCAGCACCCCACCTTGCCCAGACAGTTTCCAGAGCCTCATAACATCTCCCACATACACTGGGAGCACTCTCCAATCCATTCAGCTCTTTTCAAAACACAAATCTGATCATGTCATCCATTCCGCCTACTTCATACCTGTCAGTGGTTCCTCATTGCTCTTAGGAAAGTGTTAAACTCCTCTGTGCGGCTCTCGGGTCTGGGCCTTGCCCACTTACCCAACCCTTTCCACTGTATACTCTTTGAACTTTCTGTTCCAGTCTCACTAGCTGCCTTCCAGTTCCCCAAACACACCAAGCTCCCTTCTACCACAGGGCCTTTGCACATACCATTCCCTTACTTTGAATGCTCCCCCACCCACCCTCACCTCTTCGCCTAGCTGACTCCTACCAGTCTTCCAGCTCTCAACTGAAGCATCAGTTTCTCAGGGTCATCATCCCAGAGTTCCCTCGCAAGGTCAGATCAGACCAGGACCCCATTAAATGCTCTTCGGGGAACTATTCTTTCTTTCAAGGTGTTTGTCTCAGTTTATAGTTACCACCTTCATTTGTGTGAGTGCTTGGGGAATGCACTGGTGGTGGGAGCAGTGCAGGCTTATTGATGACTGCACAGCCTTTGACTTGCAGGACAAGAGGCCCCAGGCCCCACTCCACTGCCAGCCACATAGAGCTGGGGCTGGAGCAGGACAGTGGGAGCAGTTCTGATGAGGCCTGAACTCGGCATGTGGCACAAGGGAAGCTTCTGACAGTCCCACTTAGCATCTTAGCTCTAGCCTTGATCTGGCACGTGACCCCAGAGAAGTCACATCTGCTCTCGGAGCTTCAAAGTGGAGTCACAATTGCGAAACTGGGACACCTGGGTCAGCAGAGAGATGACACACCAGTTCATTCCAGGGGCTTCCCGGGCGTCTCGTACCTGGATGAGGTTGGCTGCAGGCATCCTCCTCTTCTCAAAGTGCTTCTGACGGTGCTGCTCCTGCACCTTCAGGGCAAAGCCAGAGCCCAGGATGCCCTAGGGGAAGAGGTGTGGTTGGGAGAAGGGGCCAGAGGGGGACAACACAAAGAGAAAGTCTCCATCCCCACCCCTCTGAGCTCTCCCCTCCCCATCCATGCAGCAGGCTCTGCCCCCAGGTCCCTCTCCCCCAGGCTGGGAGATCCTAAGTGCAGGGGGACTCACAGCAGGCAAGGCAAAGAAGGAGATGCCTAGTAAGGCGAAGCCGGCAGCCAGGACCCTGCCCAGCCATGTGTGCGGTGTCTTGTCACCATAGCCAATGGTCGTCAGTGTGATCTGGGGACACGAAGAGTTTACAGACTCCTCAGAGCTGGTCTCGGGAGCCACCCACAAGAGTTTGTTGGGGCACAGGCAGGGGGAAGCCTGATCATGAGGAGGTACCTTATGGTCATCCACAGGGGCTGGTTAGGGGCATAGATGAACTGTTCCCTTCTCTGCTTGTGGTCCATCTAGTTCCCTTCCCTGCCCTGTGCTGGTCAAGGTTAAGGTTGCAGGGGCTTGGTATAGGGAACTAGATGGACCACAAGCAGATCTACTGGGGCAGGTTGGAGGCTAACACAGGGGCTGGTCACAGGGGGCCCCGGCCCTAGCTGAGAGGCTCGCTCAACCCTCAGTCAGAGTGACAGTGGTCACACAGGGGAGGGTCTCAGGAAGAAGGGCAGCCCCTGTACAGACCCACACGCACCGTCCCCCACCAGAGTGAGTCGGCATAGGAGGAGAAGTCGGAGTTGGCATCCTTCTCGGCCAGATAGACCAGGAAGGAGGCGAAGATGAGCACCAGGAACCCGATGTACCAGGCGGTGATCAGCTCCTGCGAGGGCAGCAAGGGTGGCAACATTAGGAGGGCTGAGGGGGAGGGGCCTGGGAAAGTGAGTCACGCTGTGGCCACCTGGCAGAGGTGGGCAGGTGGGAGGTTCCCACAATGACCTGAGAGAGGTGTTCTGGAATGGGGGACAAAGGTTCCCCACCTCTCAGACACTGGCTCTGCCCGCTTTCCTTTCCCAGCTCTTCCCTTCTACACGACCCTCCCCAGCCATCCCCCCTTCCCGAAGGGGGCGAAGCCCTCCCCAAAACTCAGGGTACACCCCCTTGACCTTGCAGATTCCACATTCGGACCTCAGTCCCCAGACCCACCGCCCCCGCCCAGCGCTCCAACCCCCCCCCCACACACACACACCCCGCCCTAGCTCCCCACTCTGTTCTGCGCGGAGGCCACGAACCCAGAATCTTCCAAGTGGGTACCTCAAGCCCTGATCCCGGACCCAGCCCAGGCGTGGCCTCAGAGATGCACCCTGTGACAGGGGCCCCTGCCAGGTCCCCAGCCTCCCCTGGCCTGCCCCTCCCCCGCTGCACACCTTGCTGTGCGCGTAGACCACAGAGCCCAGCAGCTTCCAGGTGCCGCCGCGGCGGTCCATACGGACCATGCGCAGGATTTGCAGGAAGCGCATGCTCCGCAGCGCGGACGTGGCGAAGATGTTGCCCTGCGTGCCCGCAGCGATGACGGCCACCGAGGCCACGAACACGATGAAGTCTGCAGGGGCGGGAGAGGGGGAGGTCACAGCCCTGCCGGGGAGCCAAGCCACCCCGGGGTCAGGCTCCCATGTGGGGCAGGGGGGCTCTGGGGCCAGGGTGTGGGGTGTTGGCGGTGATCGGGAGGGTCCGTGGAATCTGCCAGCAGCCAGGGTCTGGGTCAGGTTGTCAACCCTAGGGTTTGGGGTCAGAGGTCAGGCACGTGGGGGTGGGGGAGCAGGTCTTGTCACCGATGACACAGAAGGGTTTTCTGGCAAAGCGGAAGCGGCCCTGCCATCCTCGGTAGCGGCAGCAGCATCCCGCGGACCAGACGCGGATGATGTACTCCAGGCCAAACACCACGATCATCACGAATTCCTGTGGGACCAGGGACCTGAGTTCCGGTCCCCTCTCCCTAGGAGCAAGGGCCCAGGTCCCACAGTACTGGCCCAGCCCAGAGCCCTTGGGTGAGGGGGGCCAGGATTTCCTCAGACCACCCCTCCTGGACGTTCCTACACCTGGCTGGACCTGAGGAGAATTCCAGAAAGCACGTGGCCCTTCCTCAGGCTTTCAGCCCAAGCCTGTCTTGCACTTCCTGTGCACCAGCTGTGTGGGGTTTTCTGCTCTTCGCCCGCCCTCCCCCTCCCAGCTATCCCAGACTCTGTAACTCAGTAACCCTGACTGGGTGACATAAGGGGTGACTCTGTGTCAGCTGTCCACTTCCAAGGTGCTTCTGTTTAGCTGGGGCGGGGGGGGGGGGATCACACCAAGGGTTGAGTTAGCAGTTTGGGTCCTGAGAAGGAGTGGGGCTTATTCACCTCTGCTCAGGGCCCAGTAGCAGACCTGGCTTAGCGGCAGTAGGTCCCTCAACATTGGCTGGAAAGCAGGACATGAAGTCCAGAAAGGGGCAGCCACCAGCTCAGGGAAGACAGCACAGCGCCACAGGCAAGCCACTCTCTGAGCCACAGTATGAGAAGCCTCTCTCTCCCCCCGCCCTGAGCCCCAAGGGGCTGCCTTACACAGCCTTGCTCTAACCTGGCCTCTGGCACTCACCAAGATGAGGAGACATTCATTGGCAAGTTCCTGGTGCTCCTGAATAGTGGACAGCACGGACAGCACCAGGCAGCTGAAGACCAGCAAAAATCTGCAACGGCAGCAGGGAGAGGGTTAGACTGCTGCACGGACGGGACAGGCAAGGGTGGGGGAAGGGGCTGCGGAGTCGAGGGAGGTGAGAAGTATGATTTGGGAAGAATTAGCTGGAAAGCAGAATCAGAATCAGAGCTCCCTGGAGTTGTGGTTCTGTGCCAGACGCCAGCGGGAGAAGCCCCCAGGCTCTGGGCTACGGAGCTCACAGACACCGACCACTCTCTCAGATGCCCTCGCTGCTGGCTGCCGCTCAGAGAAGGGGCCGCTCAGCGGTGGGTGGCCGGTCTGTCTGGGCTGGTGGTGGAAAGAGACCGGCTCAGGGTCCCACGGTCAGGAGTCAGGAGGCGCCCGTGGGCTCAGCCACTCACAAGGGGTGGCCCCACGCCCTGGCTCAGTTTGAAGACCGTCTGAAGAAAAGTCGCCCAGAGGTCAGCTGAGGGGCCAGGGAAGGTCAGCGGGCGAGGGAGGGGTCCTTGCTTCCCATGAACGCCAAGGTGGCTGGAACATCGCTTCATTTTCAGAAAGGGGACAACTGCTTCTGCCTTCGTGGGCTCTTAAGGAATTAAAGAAGGAGACAACTCGGAAAGGAAAGGGGACTCGGGAGGACAGGGAAGAGGGGAAGGATGCAGAGGGGGATGGGGTATGATGAGGGGAATCAGGCCTCATGGCCTGTGACTCCCTTGAGGGCAGAGGGAAGTCCAGAAGGAGATGTTCAGAAATGGGGAGAACTTCGTAACCCAGCTCATCCAACACTTCCTTCAAGCCCAGCTGCGCACATAAGGAAACTGAGGCCCAGACAGGGAAAGGGACTCACCCAAGGTCTCAGTATGTCCAGGACAGAGGTGAGGTTAGAGCACGGGGTCCCCACAGCCAGGGGGCCTGGGAAGAGGGGGAAAGGGCATGAGGAGAGAGGCTGGCAGCCTCGGACAGAGTATGAATGCGCAAGGCAGGCCAGGCTGAGGGGCACCGGTTGCAGACGCAGGGAAAGAAACGGAGTCGTACTCGTGGAAGCGCTCCTCTGTGAGCGACGGAAGTGCCCGACCGCACGTGCCCTTTGGAAGAGACTCCGGAGGGAATGAGTTGCTCTGGAAACACATCCCTTGTGAACTGACCCACAGCCTTCCCCAGATGTTCCCAGAGTCGACCCACCTGGGACTGCTGACACGGCATTCTGCCCAAAACACCCGCTTCGGGGCCCGCGGAGACTCTGCTCACCCTCTGCTGTGGGGAGGCCTGTGGGCAGGCCCTCCACACCCCTGTTCCCTCGCAGAACGCCCCTTCCCGGGGGTTGACTGCGTGTAGGTGGCCCAAGTCCCTGTCCACGTGGCTTTCTTTGTGCTCCCGTTTCACGGTGGCACATGAGCATGGGCTCAGGGTCAGAGAGGCTTGGGTTCCAATCCTGGCCCAGCCTGTACAGTCACCTACCTCCTCTGAGCCCGCCTGCACATCTGTCCAGTGGGAGCCGATGGGAGGACAGACATGGGAAGGGCTTCCACCCCTTCTGGCGCAGCGGCTCCCAGGCTGCTCGGAGGGCAGGCTTAGCGCTGCAAGCCAGCAGCACATGCCCAGGGAAGAGGAGGTAGGTAGCCGACGCCGATGCCGGTAAAGGGTTTTGAATGAATGAGCGAGGAGGAGGCCTCCTTGGCCAGTTCCAGGCAAGAGCTGAGTCAGCAAAGACAGAAGGCACAGGGAGAGCAGGGGGAGAGCTCCAGCTCCTCACGTTCAATAATTAACCACAGAAAAATGCAGCAGCCACATCAGGTCCCAGGTAGGGGTACTGCCCCTGACCCTGGGTCTCAGGACTGAGGGCCCCCCGTTGAGGTCGTCTTCATCCAGCCCCCTTCCCTGGGAAGGGCTGCCAAATCTTGATGGGCCCTCACCTCACCCCAGCCCTGAACAGAAATCCTTCCGTCCCACTGCTCAGCGGACCTCACGTCCTCAGGACAGTGGGCCACACTAAGGGCTTTCTGCTGGGGCTTCCAGAAATTTAAGATGGACACATCACAATGGGTTAAATGAAAAAAGCAGATTTTCAAATCTGAAGGACAATGGGATCCTAATTTTTAAAATACAGATTTCTTTAAAGATTTTATTTATTTGAGAGAGAGAGAGTGAGCACAGAGGGAGACAGAGAAGCAGACTCAGACTCCCCGCTGAGCAGCGAGCCTGATGTGAGACTCCATCCCAGGATCCTGGGATCATGATCTCAGCCAAAGGCAGACACTTAACTAACTGAGCCACCCGGGCGCCCCTTAAATATAGATATTTTTTTATATTCATACCAAGGTCAGCAGGAATTGTCTCTGGTGGCAAAATTAAGAGCGATTTGGTTTTGGTTTTGGGTTTTTTTTTTTTTTTTTTGGTTTTTTGCTTATCTGCACTTCCTCGTATTTTTTATTTTTTTATTTTTTAGGATAAACTGGGGTAGGGGCGCCTGAGTGGCTCAGTTGGTTGAGTTCCTCAGGTCACGCGCTCAGGGTCCTGGGATGGAGCCCCACGGGAGCTCCGAGCTGGGCGTGGAGTCTGCTTGAGATTCTCTCCCTCTCCCTCTGCCCCTCTCCTCCCGCACACACTCTTCCTCAAATACAGAAATAAAATATTTAAAAATAAATAAACAGGAGTGATAGCAAACTAACAGGAATTTTAAAATGCATTTCTTTAAACATACAGAGACAGAGCCACCTTTAATCCTGTCCCTGCCTCTTTACCACAATAGCCTTTGCCATTTCGCAGGTGTCCGAGTGTGGTAGCCTCTCCCCTGGGGAGTCCAGCTCACACGTCCAACTGTCCACTCAGCGTCTCTTTCTCGGCTGTCTGGTGGCCTCTCAGACCAAACATGTTCAAAACCAAACTCGACCTGCCCTCGAATCTCGCTCCCCTCCCATCTCCCCATCTCCACGAATGACACCACCTGCCCGCCAGGGGCTCAGGCCGGGTATCTAAGAGTGCCTTGGATTCTTTCTTTTGCTCACTCTCTGCTCTTGTCCTTTAGCAATTTCTGTTGGCTCTACCTTGGGGATAAATCCCTGGACAGACCACAGCTCACCACCCTGACTAAGCCGCCACCATCTCGCCTCCGCCTGACCTCCCACCTCCTCTCTGGCCCAACCGCGACCCACTCTCTTCATAGCAACTGGGGTGATCTTCCTACAATGCAAAGCTGGAAATCATCACTCTCCTCAAAACTCTCTCCTGACTTCCCATCCTATTTGGAGAGCAAAACTTACACTCCGCGTGTGCAAGAAGGCCCTGTAAGCTCTGGTCCCCACGCCCCCTCGCAGACCTGCGACCCTCCCCTCCATCACTGCGCTCCAACCATCCTGAGCTCCATGGCCTTCCTGGGACATCAGACTCATGTCCACCTCCAGGCTTTGCACTGACTTTGCTGCTTCCTCTGCCTGTTTACTGCTCTCTTACTCAACCAGGTCTCTGTTCAAACATCACTTCCTTGGAGAGGCTTTCCCCAACCACCCCCTCTCCAAAACAGTGGCCCCATCCCCACTCTCTTTGCTTGCTCTGCTTTACTTTTTTTTTTTTATAGACTATGTAAACGAATAGCAGAAATTTCACATGAAACAAACATTAAAACACCATGTCAGCAAAGCCCTCAGTTTGTGTCCACTGAGAAGGTTCCCAAAGCTCTAAGCTCATCCTTTCCTGACCTATTGGACCCCCTGGCATCTCTCTGAGAAGGGAAGAGAAGGCAGGTCTCTGACCTTGACCAGCTCCATGCGATAGACACTGTTTCAAAATTCCCTGGGCTTCACGTCCCCTGCGCTCTTATACTGGATGGGAGTTTCTCCACCCCAGAGGCTTACTCAATGCAGTGGAACAGATACACTGAACGTGATAGAGAACATCTCGTGTCCCAGGCACCTGAATCATTATCCCCATCTTCCAGATGAAGAAAGGGGGCCCAGGGAGAGACAGACTTGCTCCAAATCACACAGTGAATCTGTGTGTTCTCTCTGTCAGAATTAGCATATGGCGTTATTCATGCAACAAACAAGGACGAAGGATTGTCTCCAGCCCCATCTGGGGACCCAATGTCTCTGTCTCTGCCAGTACAGATAGGACACAGGAGCTGGCTGGCCTGAGCTCTCTGTCATTGCCCCAACAGAGAGGTCAGACTGACATGCACTTTCTGGAGCATCTCTGCCCATCACATCTGGCTGCAGTTTGGGGCCCGGGCTGTCCCTTGCCCGACCCAGGAGGCAGAGCTGGGATACACGGGTGCTGCCTGCCTGACTCTCCGCGGCTGGGCTTAGCTCGAGACTCCTTACGACCCTTCTGCACCTCCACCCCCACGCCGTCACCACCCCCAGGAAGGCCACAAGGGGATGAGGGACTGAACAGGTAGACAATTTGCTTAGATCCATGGTTCTCAAACTACAGCTGGTGTGAGAATCCCCCCAAAGCACTTATCAAGATACTGACTTCTGGGCCTCGTTCCTAGAATGTAAGTATGAGGAGGGACCTGAGAATCCGGATGTCTACAGAGTTCCCTGGTGATACTGACACTGCTCCTCCGGGAACCACACTTTGAGAATCCCTGGCTCAGCTAGCTGTGCTTGGGGCTGATTCAGGGATTAGCTAGCTCCTGGCTTTTTAAACAACTGCCATCATTGTCTTCCAGGCCTCACCCCACCCCCATACCTTCCTGAAATCACTCCAGGGATAGTCCCAGCACAGGGGGAGCGAGGATGGCACTGCTGGGGACTGTGGGTCTCACGCCAACATCAGCTTCCCCCCCAATCCACCGTGTGACCCCCAAACTGCTCCTGCTGGCTGAGGGCTTCCTATTGGCCAGACACTGTGCCGAGCCCTCTCCATGCTTTTTTTTTTTTTAATTACTTCTCGCAACCACCCTGTGAGAGCAGTACCATAATCACCCAAGGGCTTATCACCGAGAAAACACAGGCTCAGAAAGGCAGGCTGTGATGACCTCACCACTCTGGGAATATACTAAAAAACACTGAGTGGTAAGGAGGTACTTTA